TCCTCCTCCTCTCTTCTCTCTTCTCCTCTTCTCACTCCCCTCCTCCTCCCTCCTCCCCCCCACTCCTCCCTCTCCTCCTCCTGTTCCTTGTCATCCTCCAACTTGATCTCCTACCAGGACTCCCCATTAATCAGACCCAGCCAGGAACTCAAGGGGACAAGAGCCCATAGCCTTGATCCACATAGCTCAGTCTTTGGTAGAATCCCTTGGCTCCCTCACCTTAAAAAGGATTCTGGGGACTTGAGAACAAAAAGAGAAAAGAAAAACTTTAAGAATAAATAAAATTTACAGAAAAGGGGGCTGGAGAGATGGCTCCACAGTTAAGAGCACTGGCTGCTCTTGCAGAAGACCTGGGTTATATTCCCAGCACCCACATTGCAGCTTAACAACCATCCATAACTCCAGTTCCAGGGAATCCAATTCTCTCTTCTGGCCTCCAGGGGCTTTACACAACATGGGTGCACTTACATACATGCAGGCAAGACATTCATACACATGAAATAAAAATAAATAAATCAAAAAAATATAATTTACAGAAAAAATGTAAGCTGAGCCTCCTAGAAATCTGACTTAGAAGAGCTGCTTGGGTGTTTTGTCTTCGTTTATGCTTTGGATTTTTGTTGTTGTTGTTGTTGTTGTTTCTCTATGAGACAGGGTCTCATGTACCCCAGGCTAGCCTCAAATTTGCTACATAGCCCAAGATGACCTTGAATTTCTGATCTTTGCTGCAATTACAGGTGTGTATGCAGTACTGGGGATGGTTAAACCCAGGGCCTGCTGCAGGCTATACAAACACTCTACCAATTGAGCTACCCCAAATCCATTGAACTCCCCAGCATGCAGAAGAAAGGATGCCCCTCTGGCTGCAGCATTCTTATCCAGGGGAGGAACTGTGAGCTTGTCCCTGGGCCCACTTCACACCCCTGTCTCAGCCCCTGGTGCTGAACTGGAACTGGATTGTCTTAGAAGAATCCAGGTGCTGTCTTAGGGAGCAGAACTGACTTGGGGGATGTCCGTTTTTAGGTTTCAAGGAAGATTTTCAGATGGATGTCTTCAAGATCCTGGCTGCCATCCTACATCTTGGCAATGTGCAGATCGCCACCGTGGGCAACGAGAGGTCCTCAGTCAGCGTAAGATTCGTGTTGGCATTGCCCCTCTTGGGTATGTGGGTCAGTATCCTGTTCATGGCTCGGTACCAGCCTTCAAGGCTGAGCACCAGCCTTCATGGCTGAGCACCAGCCAGGATTTGACCTGCTGGGCAGACTGGTTTAGCAGGAAGGAGGAAGAAGACTTTCCAGGAGCTGCCATTCTCCCTTGTTCCTGTGTTGGGAGGGAGCATTCTCTCTGTTCTAGTCAACAAACATTTATGGAGCCTAACGTGCCAGGGGTTGTTATAGGCTCTGGGAAACAGCATGGAACTAAACAAGACCTGATTTCACAAGGTGTGATCTGGAGGGGGGAGCGGGAGACATGGGGAGCACAAGCTGGGGGAAGCAACTGTTTCCTTCCTCTGCTGTAACTCTCCTTGTGAACAGGAAGTACTCCTCCTCAGTACTCGTTGCCCTTCCCACCACCACAGCGTCCAGCCCTCAGTGTTTGCCAGTTCTCAAATGACTGGGAAGCTGAGAGGGCTGAATATAGTGTGCTTGAAATTCCTTGAGACACTGGACTTCATTCCCTCTCTAACTCCCGTAGAGCAGACCTAATTCCTATGCAACAAATGCTGTCACTTTGAGCTGTCTCATCAGGTTTGCCATGAAGACAGTATTTTAAAGGAGAAAGAATTCTAAGGCGCTCTATAGTACAGAAGACGGTCAGTCCTATGATTACTGGTCCTGGCTCTGGTACTACATACAACTCATTTATACCAGGACATTAGAATGTCAGACAAACGGAATCTGAATGAAGCTCTCAAAGAACAACAGGCTGTGGCCTCTCTCACCTCCTTCCCTGTAGCACCTCCAGCTGAATCTTTTTTACTTCAGGAGTTTGGTTCCTTCTTAGAAGGAAGCCAGAGGCTCTGCCAATCCCCTCCCGAGAAAGGAGGTCAGAGACGCCAGAAGCAAGCCTGTGTTGTTGTGGTGACAGTCAGAAGGGGTGTGGGTAGGATGTAAGGAGCAGCAGGATGGTTTGGACTGTTTCCTACACCACTTCCTGAGCATTTTAAATGCAGTCACCATGTGGCTCACTCCGTTGGCTGAGATGCTTCCTGCCTCAGGGATGGTACTCAGTCACATGGAGTCACATGCTCTGCCAAGTGACAAGAGCCAAGGGCAGTACATGTTGACTGAAGACAGGGCATCCCCCAAAGCCCACCCCCAGCCCTTTTATGCGTGCCAGTGGGGCAGCCATCCAACCCTGCCTGTAGAGAGAAGAGTCTACATTTGGGAGAGTCCCCCACCATAGCCCTGGGGTCAACTGAGAAGGTAGCACAGGCAAGGAATCCCCACCAGGTCTGGATGTCCATGACACCCAGATGTCCAATCTTCCTTGGCATCTCCCAGGGCAGATTGACCCAGGGAAACCCTGGCCACATGAGGTGGAGCAGGGGTGTGCATCCAAAGCTGACCAGACTGTGAATGGAGGGAGAGAGGGCTGGGGGCTGTGTCCATATGCATGAAACAGGGCTGCTGGCTCCTGTGGCCAGAGTGAAGATCCCAGAGGGACACTGCCGGGTCTGCAAGTCTCACTACATCCATGCCTATCAGGGCCAGTGTCACTCCAGCCCTCTGCTCTACTGCAGGCCTGAACTCTATTGCTGAGGCCTGGGCATTGCACACAGCTCCTCTTTTGTGCAAGGGCCTTGCCCCATGGGGTGGTATTGACTTTGGTTTGGTGGCCCTGACGGGGCTTTTGTTTGTTTTTGAAGGAGGATGACAGTCACTTGAAGATATTCTGTGAACTTCTTGGCCTGGAGAGGAGCCAAGTGGCTCAATGGCTGTGCAATCGCAAAATTGTGACCACCTCTGAGACAGTGGTGAAGCCAATGACCAGGCCACAGGCCATCAATGCCAGGGATGCACTAGCCAAAAAGATCTATGCTCACCTGTTCGACTTCATTGTAGAGAGAATCAACCAGGCGCTGTACTTCTCAGGCAAGCAGCACGCTTTTATTGGTGTTTTGGACATTTATGGGTAAGATTCTCTTCGGTGAGCCTGCCTTTCCTCATTTAAATGTCAAATGCCCTGTTATTTTTAGGTCGCTTCCTTCTGTTTCTTCTTTTGTGTTTTGCATGATTATGAAGCCGGTTTTCTCTGCGTTAAATACAGTCTCCTGGTTCTTCTGTCTTTTCTGTAGAGTGCATTAAACAAATGACAAGGGATAGGGAGATGGCTTAGTGGGTAGTGTTTTCTACACAAGCATGAAGACCTGAGTTCAGATACCCAGCACTTGCTTAAAAAGCTAGGCAGGGTGAAGTGTGTAACCCAGCTCTGGGGAGGCAGAGAAAGGAGGAACCCAGTCTAGGGACTGGAAAATGACTCAGCAGTTAAGAGTGTTTGCTATTCTTCCAGGGGACCTGGGTTCAGTTCCCAGTACCCATGTCCAGTGGCTCACAACCACCTGTAAGTCCAGCTCCAAGGGCTCCAATGCCTCGGAGGGCACACATTCACACACACGGAGATACATTTTAAAAATTAAATTAAATTGAAAAAAGGTGGAGAAGAGATTAAGGAAGACATATGCTGACCTCTGCCCTCCTCATGTGTACACACACACACACACACACACACACACACACACACACACACTAAATGCTAAACTAATAATGGCCAACATCAAAGATCACTGTGCGATAGGTCCTATGATGACTGGCCTCTCACTCAATCCTACCCGGAACTACCCCAACTTTAGAGATGTGACAACTCGTTTGGAAAAAAATCCAGCTTTGTTTACAGCTGCCTTTTGGGTGGGAGGCTCTGGTCCATTTCTGTCCCCTGGAGCCCCCTTGAGGCACAGACCTCGGTTGCATCTTCCTGTTCCCCAGGGACAGTGCCAGTCACAGCAGGCTGGCGTCTGCCCAGTCTACAGGGCCGGCTGTAGGTTTCTGTCTCCCACCCTCTGATGCCCACATTCCTTTCCACTCCTGTATGATAAGCTCCCTGGTTTGCTCCACCCCTTTTTCAAACAACCCAACACTTCAGCCACTCTGGAGTTCGGTCTCTTCCTTCTTTCTGCCCCATCCTGCTTTTCTAAATCTGAGTCCAGCTCGTGCTGAAGATGCTTATAGAAGGCAGAGCGGAGCCTGAATGGAGGCAGCTCAGAGGGGCTTCTGGTTGTTAGCAACCAGCCTCTAGTGTCCCAGCCCCTGCCCCTCTCCTAGAACTAAGCCTGGCTTCTCAATGGAGCACCTGGGACACTGTCCCATGAAAGAGGCAACCCAGTTTGCACTAACTGGGACTCTTCCCCACACCCTGATCACAAGGAGCTCTACTGACCCTCCCTCAATGGAGAGGGGGACTCTGGGCCTTCATATTCCTGTTGCTGCCCCCAGGGGTTGGGGAGAGGCCAGAAGGATGCTGCTGTGCCCTGGAGTTTTTCACCCAGGTAGATGGCCAGCTGTTCCCACACCTGTGTCAGGTGAATATCACAGGGAGTTCCTGTTTAAAGTAGACTTTAAGTGACTACATAGGGCTCCAATTAATATATGTGTCAACAGTTTTAAAATACAAATACATTGCTGGGATAGGCTAGTAAATTATTTACTTTGTCTCGTTTCAAGAAACAATTTGAGTAACCAGTAAAAATATTTAACTTGAAAAAAGTACTAGACAGGTTCGAAGGTCTCACATTGAGGAGGAAACATGATTGTTATGTTATTCCCTGTTGTTTGCTATGTCTTAAAATTGCCTCTAAAAATAACAGCCCCTCTTACTTTAGGAATATAATATTTCATAGTTTCATCTAACAAATACTTCCAAGATGCTCTATAACAAAAGATCCCTGCCCTCTGGGGACTTCATTTTAGTGGGGAAACAGGTAGGGAGAAGCTGAGGTGACTCCTGAGAAAGGGATGAGGTGTGGGTGTGTCGGGAGTGAGCAGGGATAATGACAGGGAAGTGAGAAGCGGATTCTGAGGGCAGGTTCAGGTCCACAGAGCCCCAGACCACCGTATGAGGGATTTCAATTTTGTACCTGAGTGGTCAAGAGTACTTTTAAATTCACAAGAACTTGTTAGAGTTCATTTAAACTTCTAATAGGAAAATTAAAATCCCCTGTACTGATTATAAAAATCATATATAAATTCATGGCATCCCTCCAAAATATCAGCTCCTGTCTATATGGCAGATCTTGGGGCGAGGGCAAGTCCTCTGATTCTCCCCCAGCCTTGTCCATCCTGCAGGCCCATCCCAGCCTCCAATCTTGGAGCTCCAAAGATGGTGTAGAGCTAGACTGCAGATGCGGTGGTCCTACTGCTGTCCCAAGACACCTGGAGCTGTCCAGGAAGCCATGGCTGAGGTTGGCAGGGATCCCTCATGATCAGAGCCACAAAGAACAAGCCTTTGAGGCACCGGGGGAGGACAGACAAGCTGCCTTCAGGCACCACTTGCTTTCTGTTGGGCCACACCATGGCCTCATCCTCTGACTCTCATGTGTAACAAAGTGAGGTCATGTTAATCCTCCACACCAAGCAGAGTTAGAGCAAAGAGAGGCAAAGAATACAAACACAGCTGTGCAAGCTTCCTCCCAGCTGAGTGCTCACCCTGCCAGGTGAAGGATTTAGTGTGCACCATATTAAAGTGCACACTGCTGCCTTCTCTTGAGAATCTGCTGATGGGATGTCCTGGATGACCTGGCCTTCTTTCATACGTGGCCACAGCTGGCAGTAGCTGAGTGAGGCTGCTCCTTAGGACAGTCCTGTTTGTCACAAGCCCTATGACACTTAGATGCCCATTGCTGTTTCCTGCCGGGCTACTCCATGCTTTTAAGTTTGCAGTTTCAGGCAACCCTGGAGATAGCTATTGATGCCTGAAAACAGGGCTGTGTGTGGCTTCCACTGAGGCTGCTAGGCTGGGTGGTTAAGTGACCTCACAGTTTTCTTCCAGGAACTTTGAAAGCCAGCCTTGGGCAGGTGACTTGTCCCGCCTCTACTGATATTGGTGTGGTATGATTAAACATATACTGCATTGTGACACTGGTAATGACTTTTACAGAATGGGCATGCTCTGGACAGATGACTTACTTAGTCTTGTAAACAAAAGGCTAATCTTACCTTAGTTTGTTTATAATGTAGACAAGTTCACTGAGCCTTGGGCTCCTCTTGTGATTTGGGAATATAGCCTTAATCTCTCATGACCCTTGTTTGGTCTTGACCCAGAATAATGTATATATGTGTTTTGCATATCAATCAAGCAACTGCTGCAAACAGCAGTTTTGGAAGCAATGAGACAATTATCCCATTTGTGCTGCAGACAACAGGTGGGATTAAATTGATACTATCTGTTAGTGGTTATGTGCACACTCTCCTAGGTCAATAGGGGTCAGAAGGGACAAAATATTTCTGGTAAGATAAGGGTCCACTTTTACCTCTCCATTTCATGCTGGATATACTATTTCAATGAAAGAAAGAGTGAGGCCTTTGTTTGGAAGCACAGCTCTGAGAGAATTCTGAAGTAACAGGTTCTCAGAGCAATTCCAGTCCCCTCCTGGCTGAAATGGATGCTCAGAGTCAGGCTGTCATTATTCAGGCATAGCTTTAACATAGCATCACATGGTAATGCTGCATGACATACCTACTTAATACCTAACAGGGTAGGTGGATTGTATACAGCCAGATTCCTTCCAGGAAACAAAAAGAAAACGAGTAATTTATAAACTGACTACCAGGCTATTAAAACTGACAGCTTTGATGTACATTTAAACTAGCAGAAAGCATATCAAACCTCATAAGTTATAAAGTCTTTCAGAAAAGCTGGCGTGGTGGCACATGCCTTTAATCCCAGTACTTGGGAGGCAGAGGCAGGTGGATAGGCCAGCCTGGTCTACATAGTGAGCTCCAGGCCAGCTGAGGCTACAGGGAGACCCTGTCTCAGAAAGACCAAAAAAAAAAAAAAGTCTTTCAAAAAGTATTTACCTATAAATAAGCCTAGGTCCTACTTCTGTTTTCATTTTAACTTTGTTTATACTCTGTTTCAGTTTTGAAACCTTTGATGTGAACAGCTTCGAACAGTTCTGCATCAATTATGCTAATGAAAAGCTACAGCAGCAGTTTAACCTGGTAGGTGACTTTCTGCCTTCTTGGGACCAGTGCTCAGCCCTCTGTGTACATGAACGTGGGAAGAGGCACAGTACGACCCCTTCCCTTTTCAGATTTCCTGATTGGTTTGGGCAGTGGAAGCAGGAGGATTTGAAGTTCAAGCTCATCCTCAGCTACATAGTGATTTCAAGGCTAGCCTGGGATACATGAGACCCTGACTAAATAATAAATAAATAAATAATAAATGCAACTAAATAAAATAAATATATAAATAAATATTTCTTGATTAAGAGCTACACACTGAGTTCCTGCACCACCTTGTGGTGGCCTTTTGGTATTACACCATATCTCCACTTGTTTTTGAGCCTGTTTGTGACCTTTTTCCTTCCCAACACTGCTTCCTTCATCCTCCAGGGTGAGCTTGCACCAGGTCTGGGGGAAGCCTCCTGACACCCTGAACTCTAGTGTAGAGTTTGAACACTAACTGCTTATCCAGTCTCCCCTGTAGCTGCCCCACTCTGGCTGAACTGTTCCAGGCCAAGGAGGTTGGCTTTGTCCCTAGAGAGCAGCAGTGGACCACAGCCACAAATAGGAAGGGGTTCAGGGAGCTGTGTTGGTGGTAACACAGGCTGGCTCAGGCTTGACACACCAAGAGGAGAAGCTTGTGGCAGGGTGATAGCCAGACCCACAGGAGGTGCTCAGTGACACTGGCCCTGAGAAAGGACTCGGGCCTTGTGCTCCAGGGTCTGCCTGTTTTGGATTTTTTTTGTTTTTGTTTTTGTTTTTTAATTTTATGTGTCTGCGTGTATTGCCTGCATGTAGGTAAGTACATCCATGTCATGCAATGCCCTCAGAGGACAGAAGAGGCCGTCAGATCCCCTGGAACTGGAGTTATGGAGAGTTGTTAGCTGCCATGTGGGTGCTAGGATTCAAACCCAGATCTTCTGCGAGAACAGTCAGTGTTCTTAACTGCTGAGCCATCTCTCCAGCCCCAAGGGTGTGCCTGTTTAAATATCACAGATCAACCTTCAGTTTACATTTTCCCAAAGCTTGCATTGGGCCCTTCAGGCACACACTTTAATGTTCTGTTTAATTTCATTGTTAACTCTTGGATTTCTAGCACGTCTTTAAACTTGAACAAGAAGAATATATGAAGGAAGACATTCCTTGGACTCTAATAGACTTCTATGACAACCAACTGGTTATTGACCTGATTGAAGCAAAAATGGGCATTTTGGAGTTACTGGATGAAGAATGCTTGGTAACTTCAAAATAACTGATTTCTTTTCCAGCTTCTGAGCAGTTTCAGATGCACATGTTGCAGAGTGATCTTGTTTAGAGCCACACCTATAAAGTCTGGACGTCTTACCTACTTGGTTGGCTCTTAACTCTGAGACAGTCATGAGTACTTATAACCCCAGGGAGCCAAGGGCCCCTCCTACCCTCGGCATGCACATTCATCACCCTTGGGTAGCATGTATGACCTCTTGAGTAACATCCAGCAAGGAGGTGGGCTTTTTTTTTTTTTTTGGCCTTTTTGGCCTTTTTGAGACAGGGTCTTCCCGTAGCCTCAGCTGACCTGGAGCTCTCTATGTAGACCAGGCTGGCCTTAAATTCACAGAGATCCACCTACCCCTGCCTCCCAAGTGCTAGGATTAAAGGCATGCACCACCATGCCCAACCAGGAGGTGGGCTTTGAGGTCAACATACAAATGTACAGGTATATAATGATCAGCTCTACTCTGGGGTTAACGTCTAATAAGACATTTTCCTCTTCTTACTGGTTCTTGTGAGCCACCAGAAGGTGAATTCAAAGTCAACATTACCAGATTCAAGAGAACAAGAGGTGTCTAGGAAATGTCCTATTATTTTTATCCTCTGTAGGAGGAGAAACCTCACAATGGGTCAGCCCAGCAGCATTCCCCAAGAAAAAATAATCCCAGCAGAGTAGGAATGGGGTTGAAAGACTAGTGTTCTGGAATGTTCTAGAGGCAGAGATATAGAAGCCAGGCAGATGCTAAGTATTTGTAGCTACACAACCATGTTCTAAATGGCCAGCATCACAGAAGTGACACAATGGGGTACTGAGTTCTCTCTGTTTGGGTTGCATTTAACTACTACCTTCAAAATTGTCAGCATTTAAAATAAGTTTTGCAAGGAGCTTAGCTGGAAGAAGTTAGATCTGGGTTCCAGGAGGCAGAAAATCCCATTTCCCGAGGTGGGGTGGGGAGGAAGCACGTGGCGGTGCCTGCCTTCCCTATCCTCTAGGAATGGAGTCAGGCTCCTGTCCCATCTGCTTTCCTTGAACTGTGAGACTTCTGTGGGGAACGTAATAGAATTCTACCTGCTTTGCGTTAATACAAATCTTCATTCTTAAATCATGACATAACTGTTTTCCTTGGGTCTAAGCATGTTTTAATCTTTAAAAGGACATCAGTAACTTCACTTCAATATCATGATAAAGTCTCCATACATTTAAACAATTATTCATTGTCCATAATAATATAAAATATAACCACTCTAGTGATTAAGAACAAAGACAGGTTAATGCTTAGAGCTGTTCTGAGGGAAAAGGGCTTCTGACTTGGCGTGGTTCCCTGATTCCTGAGACTCAGCAACTTTCTCACTTATCTTTCGTCTCTAGTTTTCTTACTTCCAGTTTGGTGTGCTTTTCTCTTCCAGTTGCCACATGGAACTGATGAAAACTGGCTTCAAAAGTTATATAATAATTTTGTCAACAAGAATTCTTTATTTGAAAAACCTAGAATGTCAAACACATCCTTTATCATCCAGCACTTTGCTGATAAGGTAACTGAAGTCTTGAACAATGCTCCCTACCCAGGACAGGCTTTCCCTGGTCTGGTTGCATTCAAGTCTCACTGAGGGTAGTTGGGGAAATGGCTCAGTCAGTAAAGTGCTTGCCTTGAAAGGCAGGCATGAGGATATACCCAGAACCCATTTTAAAAAAGCTAGACATGGTGACACACATCTGTAGTCCCAGTCTTAGGGAGATGGTGACAGATAGATCCTTGGGGCTCACTGGCCAGCCAGCCTAGCCTAGTTGGTGAGCTCCAGGCAAGAGACCCTGTCTCAAAAAAACAAAGTGGGATGGGGCAGGAGAGATGGCTTAGCTGTTGAGAGCACTAGCTGTTCTTGCAGAGGACCCAGGTTCAGTTCCCAGTACTTACATGGTAGCTAACTGTCCATGACTCCAGTTCCAAGTGATCTGATGCCCTTTTCTGACTTCCTTGGGCATTGCACAACACAGGTGCACTTACATTCATGTAGCTAATACACTCATACACATAAAATTTAAAAAAATTTTTTTTGTCTTTTTGAGATAGGGTCTCCCTGTAGAGCTGGCTATGTAGACCAGGCTGGGCTTGAACTCACAGAGATCTGCCTGCCTCTGCCTCCCAAGTTCTATGCCACCACACCTAGCAAAATTAATAAATTTTTCTTTTTTTTAAAAAAAGTGGGGAGCTGGAGATAGTTAATAGTGAGCACTGGTCTTGCAAAGGAACTAAGTTTAGTTCCCAGCACCCACTTTAGGCTGTTCACAATCATCTGTCACTCCAGTTCCACGGGTTTCTACACCCTCTTCTGACCTCCACAGGCACAGCACTCATGTGCACATACTCATACCCATATGCATACACATACGTATACACATAATTGAAAATTTAAAAAATAGAAACCAGATATGGTGGCACACACTTTTAATCTCAGCACTCAGGAGGCAGAGGTACATAGTGAAACCTGTCTCAAAACTATTTTTTGGAAAAAAAAAGTTTTTTAAAATTTTGTGTGTATGAGTATATTGCCTGCATGCATATGCACCCATGTTGTGCAATGCCTGTGGAGGTCAGAAGAAGGCATTAGATCCCCTGGAACTGGAGTTATAGCTGGTTAGCCTCCGTGTAGGTACTGGGAACCGAACCCCAGTTCTCTGCAAGAACATCCAGGACTCTTAACAGCCCAGCTATTAAAAAAAAAAATTTTTTAAAGAAGGAAAGAGAAGAAACAAAGCTTGACTTAGATGCTCTGTGCGCTGGCCTCCATGGGGTAACGAGTTCTTTCTCTACACAGGTGGAGTACCAGAGTGAAGGTTTCCTGGAAAAGAATAGAGACACTGTCTATGACATGCTGGTAGAAATCATGAGAGCAAGCAAGGTCAGTAGGGTCCTGCAAGCATTGAAGCTGCTCAGTTTGTCACTGGCACAAGTCCAGATATGTATCAGAAAGGGTAGAGACAGGGAGAAACTGGGTAGCAGCAACTTGTAGCTCAGAAATACAAAAAAGCTGTTTGAGTTCATTCTCTCCGACTGGATAAAATCCCATTGTATGTACTTACTATATTTTATTTGTTTTGGAACTTGAGGTAAAGTACGTTTTTAGCATCTGAAAGCGCTGTACATCACATGCACAACCAGATGTGCAGAAGGCAGAGGAGGGCAGTCAACACAACCAGCTAAGGAAGCACAATTCACACTTGGCTCCTTCATTCACACAGAGTGATGTAGCACTTGCCATGGATCAGGCGTCACCCAAACTTCTGGGGACACAGCAGTGAATAAGCCTGGTGGGTGTCTGTCCATGGGTGCTCAGATTCTAGTGAAAGCCATGTCCTTTAACATATAAACAAGCAGTGTAAGGTCATACGAAATGTGCAAAGAAAATCAAAACGATCAGGATGAGAAAATGGCTGTGTGGCAAGCATGAGGACCCGAGTGTGATTCCCAGCACCCACATCAAAAAACACACGCTTCAGTGTGCCCCTGTAATCCCAGCACTGGGGAGGCAGACACAGGCAGGTTCCTGGAGCTCACAGTCTAGCCAGGTTGGTAAGTTCCAGGTTCAGTGAGAGACTCTCCCTGAAAACAGTACAGAGTGACTAAGGAAGACACCCAAACTCTAACCTCTACACATATATACATATGTATGCATGTGCACACATAAGCATGTGTACCTGCACACACATACACACACAAAAAGGAAAAAGAAAATCAAATCCAAGCAAAAGGTATCAGAGAGAGTGGCTTTGGATGGATGAGGTTCTGTTTGGTGAGCCCATAGCTCCAAAAGAATGACTCGTGGCCATTTCTTTTCCACTTCAAACATCTCCTTATTAAATTTTGAGGAGAAAGATATTTCACGTATAAGTCTGTATTTTTTAAAATATATTTATTTATTATTTTGTATATGAGTGTATTGCCTACGTGTATGTAAGTGTACCCATGTCATGCAATGCCTGTGAAGGTCAGAAGAAGGTGTCAGCTTCCCCTGAAACTGGAGTTACAGACAGTTGTTAGCTGCCATGTGGGTGCTGGGAACTGAACTCGAGTCTTCTACAAAAGTAGTCAGTGCTCTTAACTGCTGAGCCATCTCTCTAGTCTACATTTTAGCCTGCATTTTTGTGGTAAGTTGGTTTCTATTTATTTGCCTCTTTGAGAAGATCCCAGTCCATTGTTTAAAATGCTCAGTTGTTTTGACAGTTTCCCAAATGAGCCAAAGCACTTGCACCAATGATCATAAACAGATGCCAGTCCTGAACAACCATGGTCATCAAAACTGGCTCACAAATGAGTGTTCAGCATCTTGGGTACGGAATTAGTTGACTTACTTTGACAATTACTTTCCCAGTCCCAAGCTCACCCCAGGGTGTGGTCTGGAAGATGCAGGCAGGTCTTGTAGAAGCAGAATGGGTCATTTTCTGAGCTGACATGTAGGAAGTTCAGCTGCAGTCACTGCCCAGGGAGGGGCACACCAGGATACCCGGGCGGCTTCTGCTTCAGAGGATATTATCCATATCTACTTTCAAAGAATAAAATGTGCCAGAAGACGGACACTTGAAGTAACTGATGCACCCCAGAAAGTGAAGTACCTTAAACAAGGAGCAAATAAAGATGAAGGTGCAGAGTCCTGTTCCAGGCCAGCCTGGGCTATACATTAATAGCAAGTTCTAGGTCAACCTGGGCTACATGGTGAGACCTTGTATCAAAAAAATAAGATAAGGGGCTAGAGAGATGGCTCAGAGGTTAAGAGCTGGTGCTGCTCTTGCAGAGGATTTAAGTTCTGTTCCCAACACCCACTCTGGGTGGCTCACACTGCCTGTAACTCCCAGCTCCAGGGGATCTGACACCCTCTTCTGGACATGAGCACCTATACTGATGTGTGCCATACCCCCCCCACACACACATGCATAATTAAAATAAATTTTCTTAAATAAGGTAAAATAAAAACAAGAAACTGGGAAGATAGTCCAGTCAGTACTATGCTTGCCACACAAGCATGAGCACCTGAGTTTGATCCCCAGAACCCACATTAAAAAAAACAAGACAAAACAAAAACAGGTACACTTGTAATATCAGCACTGGAAAGGTGGAGACAGGCACATCCCAAAGATTTGCTGTCTTCACTGAATCAGCAAACCCCAGATACCCCATCTCACAAAACAAGATGCATGGTACTCCTGAGGCACACCTACAGTTGTCCTGTAGCCTCTTCATGCATGTGTACACATGTGCAGGCACACCCTCACACACATGAATGTACACACACACCAAAGTCTCACATAAACAAAAGACAGAGACAAGAATTCATTCATGCATGGACATGGGTTCAGTATTGTGAAGTGGGTGTGACTGGAAGATGTTTTAACAGCCTTGATGAATGAGGAGGACTTGGGTCTGCAGGGGCAAGTATGTGGATTGAGAGAGGATTCCAGCTGAGCCAAAGGGCATCACGGGGACAGGAGATGCTCCACTCTTCTGATAGCTGGGCAGTGTATAGATGCAGACACTTGCACAGCTGCCCTCCCTGCCCCAGTCCCAGGAAGGATGGCATGGGCGTCACTCGTGAGGAGGCTCTCTCTACATAATAGAGCTCTGGCCATGCATGGTGGCTTGGGGTCACTCTGCACCCTCTCGTTTAGATGGCTACAGTGACTGTGTATTTGCTCTGTGCCAGTGAGGACTGTCAGTCAACATCTTCTTCCTTCCAGTTTCATCTCTGTGCCAACTTTTTTCGAGAAAACCCAGTTCCTTCTTCCCCCTTCGGTACTATGATCACAGTAAAATCTGCAAAGCAGGTCATCAAGTCAAACAGCAAGCACTTCCGGACCACAGTTGGGAATAAGGTACTCACAGGAACAAGGAGAATGGGCAGGACCAGGCCCCAGGGAACCAGGAACTCCTGGGACCCAGACTTGGCTGCACAGTGGGCCTCCTCCAATCTAGTATACATACAGATACAAACTGTTCCCCCCTCCCCGCCTGACCCCCAACTCCAGTGCAGTGCATCCCAGAGCCCCCTACCTTCACATAGTCATGTGACTCACTAGTCCTCTGCTACCTGGGAATACTAGATAGGGCAGTAGGACCCACTGGCAAGCCACGGTCAATGTGTGAAGGCCATTCTAACAGCTGCTTCTATGTGGAGTTACCTCTTCTTTTTTAAAGATTAAAAGAAATTTTTTTAATTGTGTGAGTATATGCTTATATGCACAGGTGCCCACAGAGGCCAGAAGAGGGTGTGGGGTTCCTGGGAGTGGGAGTTATAGGTAGTTGTGAGCTGCCTAATGTGGGTGCTGGGAACAGAACTCAGGTCCTCTAGAAAATGATTGTGTTAAAATTTTTTATTTATTTAATGTGTATGAGTGTTTTGCCTATATGTGTACAACAGGCATGCCTGGTGCCCTCAGAGTCCAGAAGAGGGTATTAGATCTTCTGGAACTGGAGTTATAGACAACTGTGAGCCATCATGTGGGTGCTTGGAACCAAGCCTCTGCAAGAGCAGCAAGTGCTCTTGACTGCAGAGCCATCTCTCCACCCCCAAAGTTACCTCATCCTCTTAATCAACTTCATTTGGTCTTGATCTCCGCACTCAACTTCGCAGAGCGTATTTTGATTTCTGGCCCTGTTTCCTAGTTCCGCAGCTCTCTGTACTTGCTCATGGAGACCCTCAATGCCACCACGCCCCACTATGTTCGCTGTATCAAGCCAAATGATGAAAAACTGCCCTTTGAGTGAGTACTCTTGTCTCAGAAATGAAATCACTGCAGAAGTGGCTTCCATCACCAAGTTGGAGTTTGCTAAGAATTCCTGTGAATGTTACTGTCTCTGGGGTGTTTCAGTGATTCAAAACAATGCTGCCCTTTCTATATATTAGCTGCCATCCCTCTGACTAAGCCACCTTTTCTTCAGAGCTGAGCAAAGGGGCTGAGCTTAAAATAACTATCTGCAACTGAAGGTCACACACCTGTGACCCAGCCCTTCTGCTTCATTATAAGGGGAACTCTGTGTGTGTGTGTGTGTGTGTGTGTGTGTGTGTGTAAGAGTGCTGAGGGTCAGAAGCATCCTCATCCCTATCATGAGATGTCCAGACTTGTTCTCAGGCGTGCTGAGAAAGCAGCCATATACACAAGTCAGTTGTGGAGTCCGTTTTAGCCAACTAAGCTGAGGGGTGCCCATGGGACTATGGTGGGGATGATGAGTGTGTCTGTGGATTACCAGCAGTTAGGCCTATGCCCCAGGGTTGCTGTGAGGTATTTGTAAAGGGCATTCCTGCATTAAATGGACACTAGAACCTGGCTGACCACACAGTTCTTTCTACCTAGTTGTCACTGGAAGATCAATTCAGGCCCCCACCCCCAAGTCCTTCTCCCCACCACTTCCTTCAGAGTCAAAGCTCCATCCCGCACCTGCCCTGCAAGCCCAGCCTCTGGACTGTTTCATAGAGGACCTGTTCCAGAACATTCCACAGATACTCCTCCAGTATCTGTAGCATGCCTGGCACTGTGTGTGTGTGTGTGTGTGTGTGTGTGTGTGTGTGTGTGTCTGTGTGTGTCTGTGTGTGTGTTGGTGTGTGTTGAGGAACGATGATGGAGCTGGATCCTGCTGCCCAGGAGGCTAGAGTCCAGCCCCTACTGGGTGTGCTGAGCAACTGGGAGGCCTTGATACATAAAATTGCTTCTTTAAGGTTTGACTCCAAACGAATTGTCCAGCAGCTGCGAGCCTGTGGTGTTCTAGAAACAATTCGCATCAGTGCCCAGAGCTACCCTTCCAGGTACGTTGTCAGTTCTGGTTCTTGAGGGAAAGTGCTCACTTCAAGTATGTGCTGAAAAACAAGGGTGTGGCTGACATGTTTTTTTACATGCTTGGATTCTGTAAGATGCACCCAAAGATTCCTCCTACTGTTTGGGGGAGACAACAGGAGAGAAGTGGTTATCTTCCATCACTGTCAAGAAATACTTGAGAAAACAGGGAAGGCAGGTTTTGGCTCATGATTTAGGGATTTCAGTCTGTGGCCATTTGGCTCTGTTGCTTCCAGGCCTGTGTGATGAGGCAGATCATCATGGTAGGGAGCACGTGAAGGAGTGTCCTAGTTGGCTTTCTGTTGCTGTGATAAAAACACTCTGACCAAAACCAGCTTCAGCAGGGAAAGGGTTTATTGGTCTTATGTGTCCAGATCACAGTTCATCCTTGAGAGAAGCCAAGGCAGGTACTCAGGGCAGGACCTGTAGGCAGGAGCTGAAGCACAGACCACAGAGGAATGCTGCTTACTGGCTTGCTCCTCTGACCTGTGCTCAGCCTGCTTTCTTATACAACCCATGCCCACCTGCCCAAGGGTGGCACCACCCACAGTAGGTTGGGCCCTCCCACCTCATTCAATAATCAAAAAAAAAAAAACCTCATAGACATGCCCAGGCCAATCTGATATAGGAAATTTCCCAATTAAGTTTCCTTCTTCCCAGGTGTGCCAAGTTGACAACTGAAGTTATCTGGCACAAGTAGAAAAGCAGCTCACCTCATGGGGGCAAGAGGCAGACAGAGCAACAGGAAAGGGACAAGCCATGCCCCTTGAAGGCATGCCAGTGACGGACTTCCTCCAACAAGGCCCCATCTCCTTCTCTTTCTCCATCCCTCCCAATAACTCCATCCATGGGTCAGTCCGTTGACTAGTTCAGAGCCCTCATGATCCAGCTTTTTTAAAGAGCCTCACTAGTGAACACTGCATTGGGGACCTGGCCTTCAACACCTGAGCCACTGGGAAACATGTCACATTCAAACTGCAATACAGGCTGTGTATAGCTCAGAAGCCACCAGCGCCCCAGTCCCCATCCCAGTTGCCGGTGATGGTCCCTGCTGCCTGACCAGAATAGGACCTGAGGAAAGGGAGGATTGGTGGGGTGGAGGTTGGTTGGATCAGTTCAAAGAACAGCTGTATGTTCTGGGTGATTTTGGTGGTGATCCAGGGGAGGGGCCCAAAGCCAGTGCCTTCATCACCAGAGCAGACTCCACCCCACAACCAGTGAAAGCAAGGGCAGGTTGGCAGCACAGCCCACTACCCCAGATCTGTCTGATTTTTCAGGTGGACATACATCGAGTTCTACAGTCGCTATGGCATCCTTATGACCCAGCAGGAGCTCTCCCTCAGTGATAAAAAGGAAGTGTGCAAGGTGGCTTTGCACAGACTCATCCAGGTTGGTCTTTCTCACCTGCTGAAATCACAAGCTTTTCTCAAAAGTGTATCTCTCACCTGTGTCCCTTTCATGGTTGCCTCCAAGAGGAGCAGGGCCCTGATGAGCAACAACAAATGCGCTCACTGGAGCATGATCTCCTGACAGCAGCCACCTTAGGTCCTTAGGGACCTGAATTTGAACCCTGGCTTCTAACTGCATCCCCCTGCCTCATTCTTCCATGATCCAATACTATCCTCCATGGACCTTGGTTACAGGAAATGGTCAGCTGAGGCAGTAACCAAGCAAGGTGGGCCCCACGTATGGCATTCAGCATGGATTGAGACTATTGCTGAAATGATGAACCAGGTTGGAAAAACGATGGGCAAGTTATGACAGCCAGACAGAATAGGGACAGAACCCGAAACCAAGACAGAAAACAAACGTCCAGGTCCTCCTCCCACTGTGGGGGAGCCAAAGTCCCTCAAGAGCCGGATGGAACCTTGGCAAACATATACACCCTTTGCCACCAAGCTCCATTTCTTCCAAAGTGACTTTCCCCAGCAACTCCAAGTAGAGGTTTCTAGTCAGGGTCCCAGTTTTTCTGCTTAAAGCCAAAGTACCTATCAGTGGTCTGGGAATCTTTGAACCTCTCAGTGTCAAATCTAAAGGATTTATTTCTGATTATATTATTCTTTTCTTCTAGGATTCTAATCAGTATCAGTTTGGTAAAACCAAAATTTTCTTCAGAGCTGGACAAGTAGCTTACTTAGAGAAACTCCGCTTGGATAAACTGAGGCAGGGTTGTATTGTGATACAAAAGCATGTCCGAGGCTGGCTGCAGAGGAGGAAGTTCCTCCGTGAGAGACAAGCTGCCCTGACAATCCAGCAGTACTTCCGGGGTCAGCAAACAGTGAGGTCAGTGGACAGAGGGGGGCAGTGGATCATAGAGCTTCTACTGTCAATGTCTCCAAGAGGAGAGGCAGCCAAGGACAAGGGACTGTTCTCTTGCTCCACAGGTATGAATGACCACAAGCCTGGATGTGAGATGGGCCTGTCCCTCAGGTCATGCAGGGTCTGCCTGGGGTGTGTGCTGTCTCTTCCCAGGCAGGATGACTGTTCTTGTTCCTATGATCTAATATATTTAGTGTATTATTTAGTAGTTATTTTACTTTTCCTGTTTCTTGACCATTTACAAGTTTGTCTCTTCCATGAGCTTATAAGTTCTGAAGGAAAGAATCTGTCTTCCTTTCCAGTTCTTAGGTGTTAACTAACTTCTCTATAATGAGCCAGATAATGAGTATTTGAGGAACTGTAGAGATGGCTCAGCAGTAAAGATCACTTGCTGCTCTTCCAGAGGACCTGAGTTTGGTTCCCAGCTCACAACCACCTGTAACTCCAGATCCAGGGGATCCAGTGCCCCCTTCTGGACTCCATGGACACCTGCACATATGTAGCTCACGTTACACACGATACACATGCTCAAGCATGCGCGTGCACACACACACAGATGTGCACATACACAAATAATCCCTAAAAAAGGGGGGGGCTGGAGAGATGACTCAGTGCTTAAGAGCACTGGCTGCTCTTGCAGAGGACCCAGGTTCAATTCCTAGTACCCACATGGTAGCTAATAACCATGTCTGTAACTCCAGTTCCAAGGAATCCAATGCCCTCTCTGACCTCTTTGGGGATTGCACAACATGGGTGCACTTACATACATGTAGGCAATATGCTCATACACATAAAAAATTAAAATTAAAATAAAAAATAAAATTTTTTCGGTCTTTTTGTTGATTGTTTTTTGACAGGGTCTCCCCAGTCACAGCCCATCTGGAAGTCATGATGTGAACCAGAGTAGCTTTGATCTCACAGAGACCCACCTGCCTCTGCCTCCTGAAGGCTGGGATTAAAGGCATACGCCACCATGCCTCATGTAAAATTTAAAAAAAAAAAAGAATAAAATCCTACTCTCCAGAGTGCTAGCTCATATGGATCCATGCCTCCCCAGGGACCTACCCCCACTAGGCCTTCTCAACCAGGCTTCCAGTTGATGAACTCTTAGGGAACTCACTGAAGGCAAGCTACAATCACAGCAGTGGTGGTCTGCAGCATGTTCAGAGCAGACACAGCTGTGTTCCCCTGGGTTGCCAGTATGACACTCAGGTCAGGGTAAGCACAAACAGGACTGGAGCTTCATCAGGACAAGCCACTTAATGGTAGAATTGCTGGAGGTAGCCACACCCCACTGAGGTGCTGCCTACAATGTAATTCATGATGGAAGTCAAGGCTCTGGGCCATCCACTCACTCTTCTGTCTTTTCACTCTAGGAAGGCCATCACTGCCACAGCCTTGAAAGAGGCCTGGGCAGCCATCATCTTACAGAAGCACTGTCGTGGGTATCTGGTCCGAAATCTGTACCAGTTGATACGCGTGGCTACCATCACCATCCAAGCCTACTCCCGGGGCTTCCTGGCGAGGAGGCAGTACCGGAAGGTACAGTATGGATCGAGCTTTTCCCAGAACTGGTGCTCCTCACTGTAGTGAGGCAGTCCTTACGCCCATAATCCTTCTCCGTACAGGGGTTCCTGCAAGGGGGGAGGTTTTCAGCATTCTGGGGGTTGCCTTTTGCTTCAGAAGTCTGGGATGACAGGCCTTAGTGAGTGGGTGACAGAGAGACATGTTCTGGGCTGTTAGAATGTCTGGGGTTGCCTCTTCCAGCGCTGGAGGTTGGGCTGACATCTCACTAATCTGGTTCTGAAGCTGCTCCAGGAGCACAAGGCTGTGATCATTCAGAAGTATGCCCGAGCGTGGCTGGCCCGGCGCAGGTTCCAGAGCATCCGCCGATTCGTGCTCAACATTCAGCTGACTTACAGGGTCCAGCATTTGCAGAAGAAGCTGGAGGACCAGGTAGGCATCCATATACATGTTTCTATCTATGTATGTGTGGTGTACACATGTCTTCATGTGTGTGTGTGCAGGTACACCCGTGTGTATATGTAGGTCAGAAGTCAATGTCAGGCACCATCTATCTTATTTTTTGAATAAGGGTCTCTCACTGACCCTGGGACTTGCTGTTTTGCTTAGACTGGCTAGCCAGAAAGCCCCAGGGATCCTCCTGTCTCTGTGTCCCCAGTGCTGGGAGTACAGGTATATGCCTTCATGCTTGCACAGCAAGCACTTTACCAGTTGAGACATCTCTCCAGGCCCCTCTAACTTCTTGAAAGGAAGAAAGAAAGAAAGAAAGAAAGAAAGAAAGAAAGAAAGAAAGAAAGAAAGAAAGAAAGAAAGAAAGAAAGAAAGAAAGAAAGAAAAAAGAAAGAGAGAGAGAGAGAGAGAGAGAAAGAAAGATTTATTTTTATTTTAGCTGGGCATGGTCATGTAATTCCAGCACTCAGGAGGCAGAGGCAGGAGGAGATCTAGGCTAGTCCAGGATGGTCTGCATATCAAGTTCTAGGCCAGCTGGGGCTACATAGTGAAACTCTATGTCAGAAAAAATCAAACAAACAAAAAATGTTTTATTTTTCAAATGTGTGTGTGTGTGTGTGTGTGTGTGTGTTTAGGTATATGTAAATGGGTGCCTGATGAGGGTTCTAGGACCCAAACTCGTGTCCTCTGAAAGAGCAGCAAATGCTCCTAACTGCTGTGCCATCTCCTCCCCAGCCCCTTCACCCACTTTTTTAAAAGTATTTTATTTATTGTTTTTATTTTTTGTGTATGAATATTGTCCTAGTTTGTTTCTTCATTGCTGTGACAAAACACTCTGACAACTTCCAACTTGGGGAGGAAGGGGTTTATTCAGCTTACATCTCCCAGGTCACAGTTCTTCAGGGAGCCCAAGGTAAGAACTCAGGGCAGGAACTTGGAGCAGAAGCTGGAGCACAGGCCATGGAGGAACCCTGCTTACTGGCTTGCTCCCCTGGCCCCTGCTCAGCTTGCTCTCTTATCCAACACAGGCCCACCTGCCTAGGGGTGGCACTACCCACAGTGGGCTGGGCCCTCCCATATCACTCAACAATCAAGAAAATTCCCCACAGACATGGCCACAGGCCAGTCCAATGGAGGAAATTCCGCAATTGAGGCTCCTTCAACCCAGGTGTATCAAGTTGACACTAAAGCTATACAGTACGGATACATTACCTGCATGTGGGTAAGTGCACCCATGTCGTAACAGTGCCTGCAGAGGTCAGAAGAGGGTGTCAGATTCCCCTGGAACTAGAGTTATGGATGTCTGTTAACCACCATGTGGTTGCTGGGAACCAAACCCGGGTCCTCTACAAGAGCAGCCAGTGCTCTTAACTGCTGAGTCATTTCTCCAGTCCCTCCCCCTTTTTGTTTGGCAGGGTCTCCCTATAGCCCCAGCTGGCCTAGAATTCGCTATGTAGACCAGGCTAGCCTTCATCTCACAGAGCTCTGCCTGCCCGTGCTTCCCCAGTACTGGGATTAAAGGCACGTGTCACTATACCTAGCTTCTATCTGGTTTTTAAACAGATTTGTCTTGAGCTTGATCAGATCCTTAGCTCTTTGGTTAGGATTTGTACCCAGTCCCTTGCATTGGCACATGCCTATAATCCCAGCACATGGGAGGCTGAAGCAGGAGGCAGGCAAGTTTGAAGCTAATCTGGGCCACCTAGAAAGGCCTTGCCTCAAAGACAAAAGAAATACTTTTAGCCATTGTTAGAGGGTCAAACATGGGCCACCAGAGCTGAAAACAGAAGCACACGGTAAAAGCTTGCCGCCTGTGGTCGTGTGGGTTGTTGGCTGCACATGAGCACTTGCTAAGAGGGCACATGGGACCTAAATCCAGTCTGGCTGTTTGCGAAAACATATATACCTGTAAGAAGCTATGCACCAAGAGGCCAGAGTACCTTTCTCTGATTTGCTCTAGGACTCCTGCATGACAAGCACGTGCCTCAGGAACTCAGAGGAACAACTTTGGTTCTCACTCTTCCGTAGGCCCATAGAGTCTGACTGCAGCCCCACCTCCTGTGGTAGGGAAAACCCCTCATGTTCAGAGGGCTGCAGGCCAGGGACAGGAAGTAGGAAGTACACACAGTTTCTCTCTGGCCAGGCGAAGCCTGGGAATATGCAAAGTCCCAATCTCTGAAACTCACTCTTGGACTGGTTCTGATAATACTGAGACCCTCTCACATGGAACTTTAGATTGGCTCTTAGCTTTAATGTGTAAGTCTCAGTTCCCTTCATCTCGCTGTTTGTAATAGATCTGCACATGGCATAGCTTGCACACAGACAAACAGGAGCCAGTGGGAGTCCCGACACTTCTACCATGGGTCATCTGGGTTTTCTGGGGCCACTGCAGTAAAATAGAGGAATTTTAGCCTCAATTCTGGAGACTGACCTCAGTGAAGGAATGGGTGGGTTGGCTCCTCCCAGGCCTCTGTCCCTGGCTCACAGACTACTGTCTTCTACCTATTTTTTCTTTCTCTTCTTTTAATGCACATGTGTGTGGTATATGTGGGGGTATATTCATGTCCAAACGTGTAGGCACATGCATGTGTGAAGGTGCTTGTGTGCATGTGTGGCAACCTGGGATTGATTCTCAGAATCTTCCCTGATTGCTCTCCATCATAAGGGTCTCTCAGTCAAACCCAGAACTCACCAATATGATGAGTCTCACAAGCCAGCTTGCTCCAGGAATCCCCTCTCTGTCTCTATCTTCTGAGGCTGGAATTACAGGTGGGCCACCATGCCCACCTAGCATTTTGGGGGGTTCTGGGAATTCAAACTCTGGTCTTCTTGCTTTGGAGGCAAGCACTTTACCCCCTGGGAATTCAAACTCTGGTCTTCTTGCTTTGGAGGCAAGCACTTTACCCCCATCCATCTCTCCAACCCTCTTCGCCCTGTCTTTACCAGCCTTCCTTCTGTGCCTCTGTCCTAACCACTTCAGTGCACCGACCGTGTGGCCCAAGACCTTACCCTATGCCCTCCTGATACCTGAGTTCCCTCTTTGAAGGTCTTGTCGTCCAATAATCATATCCCAGGTCCACAGATAAGGGTTCAATGTGTGATTTTTGAGGGGGACACAATTCAGCCCCAGGAACAGATAGGCCCCACATGACAAACACTACCAGCTCAGGAAGAATCCACTTTTCTGGGTTCCATGGGAAGATGTTAATATGACACATAGTAGAAAATGTGATCGTAGTAAATAGACACCATGCTGCAGGGCATGAGGAGTGAATGTAGCAGCTACTTTGTTCTAGACAAACCTCTGACCTCTGTCTCTTTCTCTAGAGCAGAGAGAACCACGGACTGGTGGAGAAGCTGACCAGCCTGGCCGCTCTGCGGGCCAGTGACCTGGAGAAGGTTCAGAGGCTGGAAGCAGAGCTGGAGAAAGCAGCCACCCACCGGCACAACTACGAGGAGAAGGGCAGGAGATACAGGGACACAGTGGAGGAGGTCAGGGGTTCACTGCATAGGGGGAGTCCACCTGCCTGTCTCCGCAGAGGAGGCAACTGTCACCCGCAATTCCTATAAAGCAGGGCTCTATAGCCCTGACAAGGGGAGTCCAGAGGATTAGACTCCAGATAGGAGTGGGGAGCTTAGGGAAGGGATCAGTTTCTCTCTGTGTCTACCTTGCAAACTGATGCCAGGTCCGGGAGCACTGGCTGGCTGCTTTCTCTTATCCCTCTGTCACTCATCCACCCAGATGTACCCTGGAGGCACCTTTCCCTGACCTGTGACACAAGGCTTGGGAAAGACTCCCATCTCTGTTGTCTAGTGAGAGCAATAGACCTAAAACCCCATCATCCTAGATTCATGTTTTGGCTTTGCTGCAGGCTAATTGGCAGCCTTGCCCAGTCCCTGACCACCTGTGAACTTGAGTTTCGTCATATGTTAAATAGAATCATGAAAAGGGGGCTGACAGTGTTGTAAGGATGAACTTTTTGTGTGAAATAATTTAGTCAGTGCCCAACATGGGCCCTACACAGGCATGAGCAGGTGCATCCTAACACATTCTAAGAGAGTAGTCTTTCTTACAGTCTACACTCCTGTCCCTTCCAAAGGCCTACAGCACCCATACTGGCAACCATGAGTCCCAGAGGATGTCTCTTTGCCTCTCTGTGACCCAGTGCCCAGGAATGCCCACACTTCTTCTTCTGGCCTCACTGACTCTGCTAGTCATGACCATCACCACCAAGGGGTCCACATTGCCAGCCTTGAAGGCCCCTAATCAAGAGAATCTGAAATAACAGATTCAGCCATGCTCCCCTCCCTTCTGAGTCACAGCAGTCTTGAAGTGTGAATCCACTGTGTGTCATAATCTAAGCAGTTATACCACAGTAAATCCATAAACTGCTTGGGCTGTCCAGAGCTCACGAGATGACTGACACATTCTGTGACACTGAGGAGACCTGGGACTTGGCCCTTCTCCCTGGTGTCAGCTGTGGCTGGGGAGATGGAGACTACTGTCTGCTTCAAAGTCCTCCTGAGCTGGTGTGGGCTTTTAGCTCTAACAGGGGCTGAGCAGAGCAAAGGTGATTGGAGAGCACAGTGTTCTTCCCCAGGATGGGCAGCAGGGACTTCACCAAGGTTTCTTCGTGTTCCACCCTTCGCTAGAGATTGGCAAAGCTCCAGAAGCACAACACAGAGCTGGAGGTGCAGAAAGAGCGGGCAGAGCTGAAGCTGCGAGAGAAGACTGAGGAGCTGAAAGGCAAGCTGCAGAGTGTGGGTGTGGCCAGGTCTCTACTGAGGACCTGATGCTTCACAGGAAAGTGTCCTTGAACGGTTGTCACTTCACTCAGTCCATGCCATACAACCTCCTGGACCCTTTTAGAGCACAGATGGGGACCAGCAGCCCAAAGGTTTTGCATTGGGAAGTGAATGTTTGTATGTGTCTGTGGTGTATGTATGGAGGGGGCTGTGAGTGTGGTGTGAGTGGTGTGTGTGTGTGTGTGTGTGTGTGTGTGATATGTGGTGTGTGTATATGTGTGGTGCATGCTGCATGTGAATGTGGTATTGTGTATGTGATATGTGTATGTGTGATTGTGCTGTAGATATGTGTGTGTGTGTGTGTGTGTGTGTGGTGTGGAGGATGTGGGGGTGTATGCTGTCTGTGTGGTATGTATGAGTATATATGTGTCTGTGGTGTGTGTGGTATGGGGGATGTGTATGGTGAGAGTGTATGTGGTATGTGTGTGTAGGTGTCTGTGGTGTGCATGTGGTGTGAATGTATATGTGTGTGTGTGATGTGAGTGGTAGTGGGGTGAGTGTGTGTGTGTGTGTGTGTGTGCTGTGTGTGATATGACTATGTGTAATGTTGAATGTGAGTGTATATGTGTATGTGTCTGGCATGTGTGATGTGTGTAAGGTGGGAGGTGTCTGTGGTATATGTATGTGATATGTATATGAGTGTGAGTATGTGAGTATGCTGTCTGTGTGGTTTGTGTGTCTATATATATATGTGGGGAGGGATGTATGTGTTTGTGCCGTGACTGTGTGTATGTGTCTGAGGTATGTCTGTGGTGTGTGTGGTTGTGAGTGTATGTGGTATTTGTGTGTATGAGTATGTATATGTCTCTGGTGTGTGTGAGGTGTGGGGGGCTGTGGTGTTAGTATGTGGGGGTGTTTGTGATGTATGTATGTGCTGTGTATATGAGTGAGTGTGCTGTGCATATGTGTGGTATGTGTATGTGTGGTATCAGTGTGTATGTGTGTGGTGTGTGTGTGTGATGTGTGTCAGTGGGGGGATATGTCTGAATGTGTTTATGCTGTGATTGTGTATGTATGTGTCTGTGGTATGTCTGTGTTGTGTGTGGTTGTTAGTGTGTGATATGTGTGAGTATATATGTGTTTGCGGCGTGTGTGAGGTATGGGGAGTGCAGTATGAAGTGAGGGGCATGTTTGTGGTATCTGTATGTGCTGTGTGCATGAGCGTGTGTGAGTATGCTGTGTGTGTGATGTGTGTGTGTGTGTGTGGTTTGCGTGAGTCTGTATGTGGGGTACATGGGGGGTATGTGTGAGTGTGGGGGAGTAATGTAAATATGTGTGAGTGTTTGTGGTATGGGCTTCAGAGCCCGTGGGAGAGTCGGTGAGGAACAGAGAGGTCAGGAGTCAGGGAGGAACCTGGAGCCTGAGCAGGGAGGGCCTCACCCACCTCCCCGATTTTTACTATAGCACTCCACTTGGATGGTTGTTAGGAGAGTTTTCTGACTTTTTAAAGTGCAGTTTCCCACAAGAACATTTAAATTCCCAGAAATGGAACTTGGAAAATTACCTGTTTGGCACCAGTGACATGTTTGGGTGGATAATTTTGATGGACCTATTATTTTGAAGGCTCCTCACCTACATGCCTAGTTTATAAAGAATCACATGTGCCCTCACCTTGAGTCTCAGTGGTAATAAACCCTTTGTGTTGATTCTGACATTCTCACTACCTTAAAGGAAGCATGGGGCAGTTATTGGCTTGGCAGATGTATTTCAAAGACCATTCTCTGTTCACAGAAAAAATGGATGACCTTACCAGGCAGCTCTTTGAAGACGTGCAAAAAGAGGAGCAGCAAAGACTGTATGGGACCATGTGCCTTGAAGCTGCTGCCCTTTCTCTCTTAGCTGTTTCCCTCTTCCCTCCCTCCCTCCCTTCCTCCCTCCCTCTCTCCTCTCTCCCTCCCTCCTTTCCTTTCTTCCTTCTTTCTTTTGCTCCTGGCAACATCTCATGTATCCCTGGCTGCCCTTGAACTCCCTATGTAGCCAAGGATGTCCTTGACTTTCTGACTCTTGCTTCTACCTCCCCAGTGCTGAGATTACAGGTGTGTGCCACCTTAGCTGTCCTGGGAATCAAACCCATGCAAGATTTCTTGCATGCTAAGCCAGCACTGTACAAGCCAAGCCATATCCCCAGTCCTCTCCTGCTATGTTGTTTTGCTCCTCAGCTTGCAGATAGCACATCACAGACTCAGGGGACAGGCTGTGGGTAGTTTTAGGAAGTGAGACTTTAAGAGTCTTGAGGGCCCAGTCCCACAGCGCCCACCTTCAAACGCTGCTGAGCTCTGGAGTTGTCCATACTGCTGCTGTCCATAGGCCTGTGACTTGGGGACTTCTTGCTTTCCTTCTGTTGCTAAGGCATTGAGAGTTAGAGATGCCCACCCCTTCCAAGTCACCTCAAGTCCCAGAATTAAGGTTATAGGCTAAGAAATAAACCTCTTCCTCCCCATCTGTCCACTTCTGTTCCAGGAAAAAAGGTATATAATCTGCCCCACAAACTTAAGGAGTTCCCTATGACCTTGGACTGTACCAGACCTACCCTTTCCCATCAGTAGCAATCTCTAGAGACTGATCTGGGCTCACCTTCTCTAAAGGAGTCAATGCAATGGTTTTTAGATCTAAGAGGGGGTCATCGTGGGATGTTTGAGAGAGATAGGATACAGAAGGTTCAGGGCTGTCTGGGACTGGGATGATGTGCAGTTAGTTTCCCTGTGCAGTTTGTAACAGAGCTAGGGGTTGGGTACAGAGGCAAAATTTCAGAGTGCAGTATAAATGCACCTCTGAAGAGCTCCAGGCTCAGAAACAAAGTATCCCATGACCCTGCATCAGTTTTTCTATTTAACTCATTCACCTAGGCAGAATTTTCAATGAACACAGCTTCAGGGGCAGAACCTCATCCAGCATCTTGGGTGCAGCAACACTTGGAAGGGAACATTTCTTGTAGAGGGCTTGCAGAGGCAGCCACATAGGTCACCCTGAGCTCTCTGCAGTTTTTACTGGGTCAGTCTGAGAAGTGAGCAAAACTGCATCCTCCCTTAGTTCCCCCTGCAGCTCCATTTGAACCCTGGTCAATCACCTGTGGACACTTGGCCCCTGTCACAACCCTCAGGGGCACAAAGCTTCTGACAGGCCCAGCAGGCTCAGGCTGCAGGACTGAGGTTTGTTTTACATGAGACTCCCCGTCACAGCTTTCCTTCTGCAAAGGTTATTTCACTAACTTCTTAGAATATTATCTTTTTCTTGGGGGGGTGGGTGCTAATTTTAAACAATTATTAATATCTCTAAAGGGAAATCAAGAAGTCTTTGGGGAGTGTGACTCTCTTCCTCACAACTTCTTCCATGGCACTGTAAGAACAGATCACAGCATGCTGTGGGCTGGTACCATAGACACTGTGCTCACCAGCTCTGGGAACTCCCGGGAGTGCCTCAGTTCTGATCAGGCGCTAGGGCCTACAGGAAGCTGGGCTAGCTCTCATGTCTCTTTTTCGTTGTTTTCTTAGTTGATCATCACTTATTTAATTCAGTGACCCTTTCACAAGGAGTTGGGTTTCTGTGCACTTTGGGGCACCTCCCTTTGTAGAAATTCTTGAAAGGGGTGCTAGAGAGATGATTCAGTGTTTAAGAACACTTGCTGGGTCATCATGATGACCTGAGTTCAGATCCCAGCACCCCTGTAATAAGCTGGGTGTTCACAAATACCTATATCCCCAGCTCCAAGGTATCCAATGCCCCCTTCTGGCCTCCATGGGTGAAAGAGCGCACGCACGCACACACACACACACACACACACACACAAATAAATAAATAAATCTTTTTTTTTTCCAGTTCTTGAAAGGCTAGACTCCTAGATACAGAAATGGCTCTGCAGGTTGAGCTCCTTACCCAAAACACTTGAGGCCAAAAATTTCACTTTCAGAGGTTTCCATGCTGTGGGGTCTTTATGTAGACTTCACTAACCAAGCATCCCTCCTCCCAAAGTCCTGAGTTCCAAATGTTTCAAATCTCAAACCTTTCAATGCATGCTGGCAGTTTAGTTTGGAATTCCAGTGTTTCAGATTTTGGGTTGGGGGACTAGTGGGTGCTCAGCCTGTATTAATTTGTTTAGGGCTGAACCAGGCCCCTGCAGGGCCCTTGGAACTGAGCAAAACCAAGACTTGACAGAATCTGCCAGGTCTTTGCGGAGGGAACTGCCCCCACACAGGAGACCTCATGGAACCCAGGTATGGCTTTGGGATTGCAATGGCCCAGCACCCAGTGTGACTTGAAGTCCAGCCTCCCATCCTGTGTTCTCTGTGATCTCAACAGAGGCTCATTTCTCAGACCAGAAATTATAAGGCGTTTATTTTAAATTAAGGGAACAGGAAACAGCATGTTTTAAAAAGCCCATTGACTACTGGAACTATCACAATGGGTCCTGATTAGCCTGTTTCCTCTGGGAGAAGGTATTTCTTAGTATTTTCAGAATGATGTATTTTCTTCATTCAAAGACTCTAAAGACAACTCTAATTTTTTTTCCTTCTTTTGCTGTCTAGACTTCTTGAAAAAAGTTTTGAGCTGAAAACACAGGACTATGAGAAACAGACAGAGTCTCTGAAAGAAGAAATTAAAGCTCTCAAGGATGAGAAGACGCAGCTCCATCGTCAGCTGGACGAGGAACGGGTCACCTCTGAAAGCCTGAAGGGGGAGGTGGCTCGCCTGAGCAAGCAGGCAAAGGTGGGGTGCACTGACTTTCGCATCCTCTGGTGGTGCCCTTGACCTGCACAGAGATGGCGTAACAGTCTCAGATTTGGGGTTCAAGAGGGACACCAGGGTGGAGCATCCTTTGGGTAAGAGATTTATTTAGAAGAGTTATTAATACCACAAGTGGAATGGCAGGGGCTCTGAAAAGCATTCAGGCCAACAAGGCAATGTGGGATCCCCTCTTATAGGCTTCAGAAAGAGTGGGGAGATCCCATGCCATGTAGTTGGGAACAGTTGTACTTTTAGTCACGTCTCAGCTCTGTGAGCAGCAGCGGAGGGGTAAAGCTTCAGCTTTTAGCTAATGTGTGTCCATCACACTCGGTGTGCCACCTGTCGCCCCTGGTTGCTGAGGCTACTTGGTAAACTTTTTTAGGGGAAGTGAGAATTACAGAGTCACAGAGAGACACAGTAGACGGCCTGCCATTTCTTTAACAGCAGCTGCTAGGGTAGAAAGAGAAAAAGGCTGCCGCCCGTGAGCTTGGCCTGAGTAGCCTCCAGCCCAAACCTGACAACATCCCATGTTCCTAAGGGATCAGACAACTGGAGTATTCCTAACAGCCAAAGGCAAGCGGTACCTGAGTGTCCATTCTTCCAAGTACCAGCCCCCAGGCTAACTATATCTGTATTTCATATTTGAAAAGTTAGCTTCTAACACTAAAATCGCAATTATTGTGGGCTGGAGAGATGATGACTCAGTGGTTGAGAGCACTGGCTGCTCTTACGATCTGGGTTCAATTCCCAGCACCCACATGGCAGCTAACAACTGTCCATAACTCCAGTTTCAGGGAATCCGACACCCTCTTCTGACCTCCTCGGGCATTGCACATCATGGGTATACCTACCTACATTCAGGCAATACACTCATATACACAAAATAGAAATAATAATTTTTTTAAATAAGTAAATTAAAAAAATTAAATTGCAATTATATAGTTATGTAAATATATTGACCAAGAGAATACTTTCAAATTAGATGATAAATTCAGGCAAATCCCTATTATCCATCTGTTATAAATTTATGAATGCTTATATCAAAGTGAAATTATTGTTATAAACTTCCATTTATACTGTTATCAGAAAATCCACAAGCGTAATGATTCAGGACTAGAGATACAGCTGTCAGTAGCGTGCCTGCCTAGTATGTGTGGAGGCCCTGGGTTTGCCTCAAAGCACCACAGAAATTGGGTTTATTAGTGCCTTCCTATAATCCCAGCATTGAAGAGATGGAGGCAAGAGGATCAGAAGTTCAAGGTCATCCTCAGCTACATAGAGTGTTTGAGGTCAGGCTAGACTACATGAGACCTTGCCTTAAAAAAAAGATCTATGCTGGGCGTGGTGGTGCATGTCTTTAATCCTAGGCCTTGGGAAGCAGAAGTAGATGGATCTCTGTGAGATCCAGGCCAGCCTGGTCTACATAGTGACTTCCAGGCAGACTAGGGAGATCCTGTCCATAAAAACAACAACAAAAACAACAACAAAAAAATGTAAAAACAACAACAAGAACAAAAAAAAGATCTATTCTACATTGGTGAATACAGTTAGTAATAAAATATTGTGTATTTCAAAATTACTAAGAGAATAAATTTCAAATGTTCTTACTACAAAAAAATGGCAAGTATTTGAGAAGATAGATATATACTTAATTATTCTACATTGCATTCATAAATCACAACATCACTTCATCACACATAAATACATATAATTATACTTTGTTAATTTGTAATTAAAGCTAAAATGAAATTTAAAAGCTGAGAGAGAAAAATCACATAGAACATTTTTATTGTTTAATTGTACATGCTATCTATATTTATTATAAAATAAATAAATATTCATAGAAATTTCATTTAAAAAAACTCTCGAGAAAAGCAAAATTTAAAAATAACAATAAAGGGGCTTCAGACTTGGCTCTGTGGTTAAGAACATTTGCTGCTCTAACAGAGGAACCAGGTTCAGTGCCCAGTACTCACATGGCGACACACAACCCTTTACAACTCTGACTCCAGGGGATCTGATGCCCTCTTCTGACCTCCACAGGCTCTGCATGCATGTGGTACACATACACATGCAGGCAAAACATCTGAAAACATAAAAATAAATAAATCTTTTTTAAAATAATAAATAAATGATCCATGTATGGACAATCAAGGCTTGACTTAGATATTTCCTTACCAGAAATCTTAAATATATACAACCCTGTGTTCTTGGGAGTTTGTTTTGAAACAAGGTCTCAGTATGTAGACCAGGCCTCAATCTCAAGATCCTCCTGCCTCAGCCTCCCAGTGCTGGTGGCAGCACCCATCTGATTGTTCAGTACAGAGTACTGGGTGAAATGAAATTTTAGAATGGAGATTTCTGGCGTGTACTTAGTACAGGGAGCAGTACAGAGCCATGCTGCACTCGTCCGGGGAGCAGTACACAGCCATGCTACACTCTGCTCTCACATGCAAGGCAATTCACTGTAAAGTCAGAAATCTGTTAAACTTCCACTAAACATGTAAGATACATATCAGAGGATACCCTTCGAGGTGGTGCAAATGTTCTGTGTGACTGTGAGACAGCCAGTGTGGTTTGTAAGAGCTTCTGGATTCAGCTATTTCCCAGCAGAGCTGTTTATCTTTTCGTGTAAATACCAGACGATAACCACTTGCACCACTGGAGCTGCCTGTCCATCTTTTCTAGTCCTGGTCTCCTGTTGCTTAAATGTGGGAGACTGGATCTGTGATCATAGTGCTGTGACTGGTTCATTCTGAGCAGTCACAGAGAAAGGGATGTCAATCTATGGGAGTCAGGCAGTCTGGCTGGTCTTCCATTTGGGAGACCGTGAGCTTGCACTTAGACTGAGGCACCAGTAGGTGTCGCTCGCTTCCTCTGGTGCATTAAAATGCCTGATTTATGAGGCCTGTAGCCCAAAGTCTGAAGATCCTAAGTAAATGTGAACGTGACTGGGAACGTTTACAGAAACATTGCAAGAGGAGCGCGGCTTCAGACTAGACAGCCCTGGCTCCCTATGAACTTGGCATGTGGTCTTCAATTCAGTGTAGATTCATTTTCTAATTGATACAGGCTTGTTCTACTCACCTCACAGGTCTGTGAGGATTGGGTGTCTACGTCTGTCAAAGTTTTGATTCCCCTTTCTACCTGTCGTGGAAGCAGGAGCTAGAGCCTGTGAACACCCAGCAACAGAAAATGCTAAGGAGAGTCAGTCAGCCCTGGTGTCTCTGAGAGTCTTTCTGTCTTAGCTACAAAAAAATACAACCCCATGATCTTCCTCCAGCCGAGCTTGCACGGTGAACAGCAGTGGCTGCAGCCTGTTGGAAATTCCATGTCCAGGCTACCCCTCCCAGAACAGCTGGCCTCATCCTGCCTCTCCTCTCTAAGCCTAACTGAAGCCAAAGGCTGCCTAGGAAAGTGGCACCTTTGCCTTCCCCCTCTTTTCAGACTTACTGTCTGCCAAAAGATGGTTTTGGTCCCTGCGATTTAACTTCTCGACTTGCCCTCATCCCTCCACCTGCAAGTTTGGGTGGTTATTTTCTGCCTTTACATAATAAGGAGGCTAATCCCTGCAGTCAAGTTGATCTGGAAACTGCAGCATCCTGAGCAGCTGAGCTGCTTCAGGGCAAGCTCTGCTGGCCACAAGGGTTGGACAGGATTTCAGCTGGGAGGCCCCGCATGCTCCCTGACAGTTGTGTCCCTTGTCTGTTTTCTCTTCACCGGGTTTGGCCGTTGCTCTGATATAGACCATCTCTGAGTTTGAAAAGGAGATAGAGCTACTGCAGGCGCAGAAGATAGATGTGGAAAAGCATGTGCAGTCACAGAAACGGGAGATGAGAGGTAACTGCAGCATGATTCACTTGTCTCTCTGGGGTGCAAACTTGTTCAGGTGTGTGTCGCTGTGGAGATGTGTCCTTTGCTGCTGGAAGCTGGGCTGGTTGACTGTGGTCTGGATGGCTAGTTGGTTGAATACCTAGGAGGGTGGTTAGTTGATTGGGTGGACAGCTGGTGAGCTATTCTGCTGGAGACTGTAGGAAACAGCCCTAGGGAGATCACAGGGAAAAGAGACATGTTCAGATTCGATTTCCACAGCTCTGTCTTTCCTTCCAGAAAAGATGTCAGAGGTCACAAAACAGCTTCTGGAGAGCTATGACATCGAGGACGTTAGAAGCAGGTGATCACTTCTACATTATCAGACATTTTCAGACATGCAAAAACCCAGGCTGGAGAGGCAGCTCAATAATGTGCTTGCCTTGAAAATATGAGTATATGAGTTTGATCCCCAGAACCATAAGCAAAAAACCAAGCATGGTGTCACATGCTTATAATCACAGCTGGGGAAGCTGAGGCAGGAGGATCTAGATGTAACCTATATCAGGTGACTGACAATTACCTGTAAGTCCAGTTCCAGGGGATCTGAAGCCCTCCTCTGGCCTCCAGAGACACCTGCACTCATGTATACACACACACACACAATAATAATAATAATAATAATAATAATAATGATAATAATAAAATAAAATCTTAAAAAAAATGGCATGAGGTTAAGAGCACTGACCGCTCTTGCAGAGGACCCAGGTTCAATTCCCAGCACCCACATGGTAGCTATGAACCGTCCTTAATTCCACTTCCAGGGGAATCTGAAGCCCTCTTCTTATCTCTGAGGCATTGCACGACACAGGTACACTCACATACATGCAGGTAATACACTCATACACATAAAATAAAAATAATAAAATATTTTTTAAAAAATGGACTGTGCCTGAGGAATACCACCCAAGGTGGTCTTCTGGCCTCCCACATGCACAGGTATTTAAATATGAACATAAACACAAACCATGTAAAACATGAGCAAAGGTAGACATTCTTACTGTCCTTGTATTTTCAGGCTCTCTGTGGAAGATCTGGAACATTTAAATGAAGATGGAGAACTCTGGTTTGCCTACGAAGGACTAAAGAAGGCAACTCGGTTAGAAACTCCCCTGGGTTCTGTTTTCTTTTTCAGAGACAATAGACTATTGGAAATCAAAAATTCATCTTACCTAGATTTGAAATGTAAATTCTTAATAGAATTATCTAATAACCCTCTGAGAATTCAGTAATTTTTTTTTTAGTGAGGAGGCACAGCCTCCTTATGGGATAAACTTCCTGGTAATGTATGGACCCCGTAATCTGTATGATAAAAACTGGTTACAGGGCTTGGATGGAGGACAGGGAGAGTGTCTGCCTAGGATATAAAAACCCTGGGTTTCATCCCCAGCACTGCATAGACTAGGTATGGTGATGCATGCCTTTAATCCCAGCACTTGGGAGGAAGATCAGAAGTTTAAGGTCATCCATGGCCACTTAGGCAGTTCAAGGCCAGCCTGGGATATAGACCCTGTCTCAAAAAACAGACAAATAAAAAAACCCAAAACAGAAACAAAAACACCCTGGCTACATCATATAAGCAGCCACTGTTGCTGTCAATGTAGAGGTATAATTGAACTGAAGGAGTTTTGCATTTCTTTAAATTAATAAGCTAACTTATTATAATAGTTTTAGGTTCACAGCAAAACTGAATAGAAAATAAAGTTCTCACTGGGTGTGCTGGCACACACCTTTAATCTCAGCAGTCAGGAGGCAGAGGTAGGTAGAGCTCTGTGATTTTGAGGCCAGCCTGGTGTACAAAGTGAGACTCTATCTCAAAAAATAAAATAGAGTTATCATATCCTGCCATTATGCACAGCCTCCCCACAGTCACTGGTGTGCATTAGTTATTTTCTGTTGCTGTGATAAAACACTATGACCAAGGAAACTTATAGAAGGAAGAGTTTATCAGTTCCAGAGGGATAAGAACCCATCATGGTAGGGTATCATGGAAGGAGGCCATCAGAGCAGAAAGCTGAGTGCACACATCTTCAAGCTGGCACAGGAAGCAGAGAGAGAAACTGGAAATGGAAACTAGGCTATGTGCTCTCAAGCCCGCCCCCACTGACATGCTTCCTCCAGCTAGGCTGTACCTCCTGAAAAGTTCTATGTCCTCCCCAAAGAGCCTCACCAACTGCCAAGTGTTCAAATACTTGGAGCCTATGGGGGACATTCTCATTCAAACCACCACACCGGGTCATACCACAGACATAGCAGGGTCCCCCAAAGGCTCACACTGGGGCCCCCTCAGGCTATGGAGCCTCATAAGCATATAAGGATGCCTATCCATGCATGATTGTGGTATCATGCAGAGCAGCGATTCTAAACTAATGGCAAAAATGTAATTGGAATTGCTTCTAACATGAAATACCTTTATCATTAACTGCATATTAACCCTATATAATGTTTGCTGTTGTGTTGTATTTAATTAATTTGTGGAGAATTTCATACAATGTGTTTTTATCATTTTCATCCGCTCCCCCAGCTCAAGTCCAGCACCCTCCTTCCTTAAACAACTTTGTGTCCTCTTTTTTATTATTATTAAAACCCATCAAGCTCAGTTTGTGCTGCCCATATACTCTTGGTGTGAGGCTACCTGCCGGAATGTGATCGACCGTACTAGGGACCCAGTTTTATAGAAAACTGACTCTACCTCTCCCAGCAGTTATCAACTGCCAGTAGCTCCTCAGCTAGGGGTGGGGCATCTTGTCCATCTCCCATCTGCATGCTGGGATTTTGTCTGGTTTGAGCTTGCAAGCTTATGCAAGCTGTCACAGCCACTCTGAGTTCCTATGTGTAACTGCCCTGTTGTGTCCAGAAAACACTGTTTCACTGTAGTCATTCACCACCTCTGGCTCTTAAAATCTTCCCACTCTCTCTTCCCCAAAGATCCCTCAGCCTCGGGGAGAAGGTGTGATGTAGATTTAGGGCTGAGGACTCTGGTCTCATTCTTTGCAGTTGTAGGTCTCTGTATTAATTTCTATCTATGGCAAAAAGAAGCTTCTTTGGGGCTGAAGACATGGCTCAGTGGTTAAGAGTACTGGCTACTCGAGGCTGGAGAGATGTCTCAGCAGTTAAGAATATTGGTGTTCTTGCAGAAGACCCAGGTTCAAATCCCAGCACCCACATGTCAGGGGACAACTGTCCGTAACTCCAGTTCCAGGGGATCTGAGGGCCTCTTCTGTCATCTGAGGGCATTGCATGACATGGGTACACTTACCTACATACAGGCAATACACATATACACATAAAATAAAAATAATAAATTAAAAAAATTTTTTTGGTCTTTTTGAGACAGGGTCTCCCTGTAGCCCCAGCTGTCCTGGAACTCACCATGTAGACCAGGCTAGCCTTGAACTCACAGAGATCCGCCTGCCTCTGCCTCCCGAGTGCTGCGATTAAAGGCATGTGCCACCATGCCCAGCCAATAAAAATACCTTTTAAAAAAGAGCACTGGCTACTATGGGCATGCGGGGATCTCGGGGCACCAGCTGCTAGGTGTGGCGCCGGTCTCACGCTGGGGTGCGGCGGGTCGTGCACCGCGTTGCTGGGGTGTGCGCATGTCCTGCACCGCGTTGCTGTGGGTCTCCGCGTCTACTGGGTGCTGGCGACTCTACTGACCGCTGTGCTCCCAGGCGGGTCCCTGCTTCTCCACATTGTTGAGGCTCTCTGCTACCGGGGCTGGCCCGGTTGAGTTCCGTCCCAATCCACCGTGCACTTCCTCGAGATAGGAGATCCGTCAGCTGCCGGATCGCGTGGGAAGGTGCGGAGACGGCGAAAGCTGGGCTTCCATGAGTCATGGCTTACGAAGAGACAGCCCTCTCCGGGAAGGCTGGATCATAGGCAGTAAGACACAGAACTCAGCTCAGTCAGTGGTACAGCCCCTTTATTCTGTGACTCAGCTCGGCTCCAGGCCTTAGTGATCCAGCTTCGATTAATTAGGGGAAAGCAGGATATTTTATACTGTGGGGGCAGTGGCAAAACCTTAGTTGGTAGGTGCTTTTAGGATGCCTCATTTACATGTGGTGGTGGGCTCCTGCCAGGCTGTCAGACTGCCTGAAAATCACACAGGAAAACCTGGCAGTTTCAGAGCCGGAGGCCATGTTTCTGTGACGGCTACTTCAAAGATGAGTCAGGAAGGTGCTGGGAAGGCACCCTGCTGATAAAAGGAGTCTCTGCATATGAAGCCGAGCCCATGGCTATCCAGACATGGAGAGACTGCTACTTTACACAACAGGGGTCCCCAACATCTCCTCCTCTTTGATTTAAATATGGAGAAGTGCCATTACCAACCCTAAGGTCCAACTCATCTCATCTCGGGAGAATCCAAAGTCTGATAATTGACCATGACCTGTTTTGTAGTGATTTTAGCAAATGGCAGTAATTTGTCAGCAAGGAAATCTTAAAAACAGTGAGCAAGTATCAAAAATAATACACAGTATTACCAGGGGGCAACAAGGGGTTTGGAGCTATGCAAACAAGGGATTGTTAAGCCAACCTAATTGTTTGGTGGGTTGAAATAGATTACAAAGTTTTTTAAGAGTGTTAACATCAGTTTCAACAACATTTGATTCATTTACAAAGAAACAGCATTTTTCCCAGTACCATATACCCTCCCCATGTTATCAAGTCCAATGTTCTTCTGTTGTGGAGCACAATCCTGGCGAGAGAGTTCATTTTTTGTTGGAGAGATTCTAGGCTTCAGTCACAGATGTTATTGCTTAGTTCAGCTTGTCTCAGCCAGAGCAGGATCAGGTGCAGCTTGTAGCAGTTGTCGCCATAGCAACGCCTCCAGCATCCAGTGTAAGTTCGATCTCTACCAGCAGGGGGAAGAAGATTTTTCTCTGCTAGCAGCTGTGCAGGAGAAAAGCTTCTCACACCTGGAATGTACTAGTACACAAAAGGTGGACAAAGAGAGATTAACACAGTTTTGGGCTTCCTTTTTCTATAGGAAAAGAGGAGTGATGCATGCTATACTGGAGAGAGTAGTTAGTGAGGCATTTGTAGGCTTACTTGCTGAAAATGAAAATTAAATGGTTAGCCAGTTGTTTGAATCCACTTAGATGAGAGTCAGTGAAATCTTTTTTCTGTTCCTGGGTAGAGAAGGGTGGTAACTGGTACTGCTGTCAGTAGAAATCTATTGCTGGATGCACAAAAGAAGGCAGTTAGACATTGGAGTAGGTGGTGAAGGGAAGAAAGTTAGACTTGTTCCAGGACATAGTCAATTTTAT